CCAGGCCTGCACCCCACCGGCCCGGGCGCCGGGCATCCAGGCCAGCTCCTGAAAATCAAGACTCCTGCGCGCATGTGGTCAAGGGTCTTCTCGCGCTCAGGCCGCGGGTGTTCCTGCCCCGCCTTCCTCACTGGCCGCAGCGGTCCCTGGCTCGTGGACTGCAGTCCCTCTCCACACCCTCTGTGAGACCTACAGAACCATCCCGCCAGACTTCTAGCTTCCTCGCCATTTCTCCCTGATTCTCCATCGCCCCGGTCTCCAGGCTCCCCCACCCGTAATGTCTCTAGCCTCCTTTCTCTCATGCCCCAATTTCCAAGGGGTCTAGTAGGCCTTCATACCCCCATGTTCCTGCTGGCTTTGGTGATGGATGGAGCCCTGGCTTAACCCCCCTTTGTAGTTGTCTGGTCTCTACCCTTTTCTGAGATGGGGGCCAGGAATCTGAGAAAGAACCTTTGCAGCTTGCTCTGCCTGTTACTTAGCGGCGGGTAAGATGGAGATAGAGGAGATGGAAAAAGCTGGCCTGACCTGGTTGTGTGACCCTCTTAACAGTCCTTGGAAAAGCTGGCTGCTTAACTACCCAAAAGAACACCAGCTCTCAGGGCTTCTGTGCTAATCCTGTCAAGTAATCTGCAGGGCAGACTGCTCTAATGGTTTGTGCTCGCTGCACAGACAAATCTTGAAAAGTTTAATATGTTTACCTGTGAACTGATGCCCCCTGGAATAAAATGGAGTTTTTTACCACAGCCAAGGACTATATGTTTCAGTTTGGGGTGGCACACAGACCTATACCCTCGTATATACATACTTCTCCAGTTTAAAAACTAGTCTAGCCTGATTACTAAATTATTATGTACAAATTTGTGCCCTCCCTCCCCCACAATTTTTCTCTTATTTCACAAACATTCACTGATGCCTGCTCTATTTCAAGACTGTTTGGGTGTCAGAGGTGAGGAAAAAACTGTTCTTGCCCTGGAGGGGCTTGCAGTCTGGTCCAGGAAGCAGACACCACAGCAGTTTTATTATAATGTGGGTATAGTGAAGAGGAATGCCTAAGAGTTGGGTGCACACAAGCAGAGGAAGTGACCTTTGTCCTCAGAGGACATAGAACACAGTGACTGCGTTGAAAAGTGAACTGTCTCTATGTGTGTATGAATGTACAGTGTCACACCAGTTCATTTCCCTAGCCGCCACACTTATACAATATTTATATGAGATCTAGGTAGATACCTATAGCACCAGTTTCTACTCACATTGTTTTTTTCTCTTTGCACTTTCATTGAGTTATAATTTACATATCATAAAATTCACCCATTGTAACTGTACCGGGAATTGAACTGTGATCACCTGGTTTGTAGGTTGACACTCAACCATTGAGCCACGCCAGCCGGGCCATTTTTAATTTTTTGAGGACCCTCCATATTGTTTTCCATGGTTTTCCAATCTGCATTCCTACCAACAGTACACGAGGGTTCCCTTTTCTCCACATCTTCGCCAACACTTGTTTGTTGATTTATTAATGATAGCCATTCTGACAAGTGTGAGGCGATATTTCAAAAAGAATGTTCTAGCCCTGCTGGTGTGGCTCAGAGGTTGAGCCACACCTATGCACCAGGAGGTCACAGTTTGATTCCAGTTAAGGCACATTACTGGGTTGCAGGCTCGATCCCATGCAGGAGGCAACCGAACGATTCTCATCATTGATGTTTCTATCTCTCTCTACCTCTCCCTCTCTGAAATCGATACAAATATTTTTTTTTTTAAATGTTCTAGCCATGGCTGGTGTGGCTCAGTCAGTTAAACATCCTCCCACGCACTAAAAGGTCACTTGTTCGATTCCTGGTCGGGGTGTTTACGGGAAGCAACCGATCCATGTTTCTCTCTAACATCTATGTTTCTTTCTCTCTCTCTCCCTCTCTCTTCCTCTCTGAAATCAATAAAAAGATATATTTTTTAAAAGAATGTTCTAGTCTTTTAATAATTAAACCCCAATACAGTTTTCTACCCAATTCTGTGTGTCCCATTATACCAATGTAAATTTAAATAATTAGAAAATGCACCTGGCGGGTATAGATCAGTTGAGCATCAACTTACGAACCAGGAGGTTCCATTCCTGGTCAGGTTACATGCCCGGTAGGGGGCATGCAAGAGGCAGTGGGTCAATGATTCTCTCATAACTGATGTTTCTATCTCTCCCACTCCCTTTCTCTCTGAAATCAATCAATAAATTTAAAAAATGCTATTGATCTTTTAGTGGAGCAATTTTGAAGGTTGCTTTATTTTTTTTCTAATCTTTATTGTTGAAAGTATTACATAGGTTCTCCTTTTTCCCCGTTAACCTCTTTCAGCCCGATCCTGTCCCTCCTGCCCCCCAGGAAGGTTACTTCATTTTTAACTCCACAGAAAATGTTCCACAAATAATAAAAAGATACAAAATGTATGATTATAATAAATTTTTTAAAAGGACAGTGAGAAAATGATTCCCTTGTCAAGTCTTTCAATCCTTCCAGTTCTTTCAGGGAAGAAGTCTCAGTTGGGTGCTACCTTGTCATAACACCTCTCTTCCCAGTTGCTGCTCTCTTATTGTTCTTTTTAGAGAGAGCTCCAAGCCACTGTGCCAGTATCTGGCTAAAATTGTTTCATTTTTATTGCTACCCATTAAGTTTGTGATCTAAAGATTTCTTTTTAAAAGAATTTACTTGTACAGCATGGTGACTGTAGTTAATAACTGTATATTTGCAAGTTGCTAAGAGAGTGGATCTGAAAAGTTTTCATAAAAAGAAAAAAAATTGTAACTGAGTGGTGATGGATGTTAACTAGGCTACACCTGAAATTAATATAATGTTATATGTCAATTATATCTCAGCTTAAAAAATATTAAACAATTTATTTAGAAAATGAAGTTGGCTTACATAAAATTAAAAAGTAAGTAATAGTATACACGGTGTGAGAACATAGCATGAGTCATGAAAGCAGAAGGGAAAGAGTGACTGAGGTTTGTCAAGATATGGCATTCCAGCCAGAACCGGTTTGGCTCAGTGGATGGAGCGTCGGCCTGTGGACTCAAGGGTCCCAGGTTCGATTCCAGTCAAGGGCATCTACCTTGGTTGCGGGCACATCCCCAGTGGGAGGTGTGCAGGAAGCAGCTGATCGATGTTTCTCTCTCATCGATGTTTCTGGCTTTCTATCCCTCTCCCTTCCTCTCTGTAAAAAAATCAATAAAATATATTAAAAAAAAAAAAAAGATATGGCATTCCATTACTCAGTGCCTGCATTTGAGGCACGGTTCAAAGACAATGCTATTGAAGCAGATTTTTAACTCACAGATTTTATTTTCCTCTCTATAGTGGAGCATATGATCCAGAAGAACCAGTGTCTCTTCACCAACACCCAGTGTAAGGTTTGCTGCGCCTTGCTCATTTCAGAATCTCAGAAGCTGGCACACTACCAGGTATGCCATAGTACCTTTAGAACTGCTTTACTTTCCAGACCTAGCTCCAAGCCCCCACTTCTCCCAACTTGCACTGTGAAGTGTAATTCCTTCTTAGCTACCCAGATGTTTCCTCCATGCATGTTGACTGTAACTTGAAGACTAACTTAATTTTTCCCAAGTCCCATTTCTCTAATCTAAGTCAGAATCATTATACTTATATCTTCCCTTGTAGCTTATACAGTAGAAAGTATGAGCTTTGGCTTTAAATAGACCAGAGTTTGAATCACAGCTCTGCTACTCATCTTGGGCAAAAATCCTCAGCATCTTCAGCCTCTGTTTTCTCATCTATAAGATAGAGATGATGCCCTAGCTGGTTTGCCTCAGTGGATAGAGCATCAGCCCACAGACCAAAGGGTCCCAGGTTCGATTCCGGTCAAGGGCATATACCTCGGTTGCAGGCTCAATCCCCATGGGGAAGGCAACCAATCAATGTGTCACTTTCACATCGATGTTTCTGTCTCTTTGTCTCTCCCCCTCCCTTCCACTCTGTCTAAAAATCAATGGACAAATTATCCTCAGGTGAGGATTAAACAAAACAAAAACAAGATAGAGATGATGATAATTTTCTCATAGCTTGTAAAGATTAGATTTGACAGCATGTAAAGTGCCTTGAGCAGAGTGGGAACTCCATAGACTAGGTTTCTTCCCACACCCTCTCCTGCTTAAAAGTTTTATGAGGATGAATCAGGTGAAAATCTAGTAAGTGTTTTTGAGTTCCTTAGATATGAATTGGCATTTGGCTATCTTTTATCTTTTTCCTGGGTTCTTACAGAGCAAAAAACATGCCAACAAAGTGAAGAGATACCTAGCAATCCATGGAATGGAGACATTAAAGGGGGAAATGAAGAAGCTAGACTCAGATCAGGTAATCCAGCTGCCATGTTGATACTGCTTGCTTCCTGATGAAGCCAGCAGACAGGTTGGTGTGGTAAAAAGAGCATGGGCTTTGAGTCTGACTTGGCTTCAAATTCCAGCCCTGTCGTGTGACTTGGGCAAGTCTTATTACTTCTCTGAGCCTTGATTTCTTCCTTTATCAAAAAGAGGATGCTAATATCAACTATGTTTTAGGATTTTTCCAAACTAAAATGAGGGAAAGAAAAAGACCCCACATAGAGCCTGGCACATAGCAGGAGCTTAGTAAATGGAGCCATTGCTATGTATTACCACCCAGTGGTTTGATGGAGTAGAACAAGAAGCTGCCCATTCACTGCTTAAGGAAACAAAGTGGAAGGAGGCCAGGCTGCTTTCTTGAGATCAGGGAAAAGAGCTGAGCTCAGCACTTGAATGTTTTGAGACAAGTGGTAGGAACACTTTATCAGATGCCTGCTCTGATAGAGATGTAAACACATTTGCTTTTTGGCTTAGAAATAATGTGGGAATTATGCTGAAACAACCCAGAATCCATAGGGGTACTATAATTTTTATTCCATAGGAGGCTGTGCAAACATGGGATAAGAAACTAGCACTGGCTCTACAACTTACTGGTTAGATGACTTGAGGTAAATTACTTAACCTTTGTGTACTTTACCCATAAAATGGCGATAGTAATTTTCTACCTCTTAAGGGTATCATAAGGTAATTTCAATTCCTAGTATATACTCAGTGAATATACAAACTGTGCCTCCTATTATAGGTTTGAAGGGCCATGCTCATCCCTTCTCCAATTCACTAGACTGATCCCCTACTTGCCCTTCTTATAATTTAGAATTCCAAAAGTCAGGATCTAACCAATGCTACCCCAATAAGTTCAATAAAAATTAAAAATAGCTCAGTCGGCATGGCTCAGTGGTAGCGCATCAACCTATGAACCAGGAGGTCAAGGTTCAATTCCTGATCAGGGCGCATGCCTGGGTTGCAGGCTGGAACCCCAGTGTGGGACATGCAGGAGGCAGCTGAGCAATGGTTCTCTCTCAAGGTTGATGTTTCTATCTCCTCCCTTCCTCTCTAAAATCAATAAAAATAATACTTTTTTAAATAATAATAATAAATAGCCCTGGCTGATGTGACTTAGTTGGTTGGGTGTCATCTCATGCCCTGAAGGGTTTCTGGTTCAATTCTCAGAGCACATGCCCAGGTTGCAGGCTCCATCCCCAGTAGGGAGCATACAGGAGATACCCAAAAGATGTTCCCTCTCACATTGATATTTCTCTCTCCCTCTCCCTTCCTCTCTCTCTAAAAATCAATAAACATTTTTTCTTTTAAAAAAAAAAAGGAGCCTTACCAATATGGCTCAGTGGTTGAGCATGGACCCATGAACCTGTAGGTTATGGTTCGATTCCTGGTCGGGGCACAAGCCTGAATTGCAGGTTCGATCCCCAGTAGGGGTCATGTAGGAAGCAGCTGATCAGTGGTTCTCTCTCATCATATCTCTCTCTCCTTCTCACTTCTTGTCTCTGAAATCAATAAGAACATATTTTTAAAAAAAGAAAAAGAAAAAAAATAAATCAGGATCAACTCTGTGACCCTGAGCAAGTCACTTCACCTCTTTGTATTTCAGTTCCTTCAACTTGGGTGGTCCAGTAGTTCAAACAAGGTCACAGGCTCCTCCCCCTCCCCCAATTAAAGAATTTTCCAGCCCAAAATGTTGATAGTGCCAAGGTTTAAAATGTTGTCTTGCCCTAACCGGTTTTGCTCATTGGATAGAGTGTCAGCCAACGGACCGAAGGGTCTCAGGTTCAGTTCTGGTCAAGGATACATACCTTGGTTGCAGGCTCATCCCCAGCCCCAGCCCTGGTTGGGCTCATGCAGGAGGCAACCAATCGATGTGTTTCTCTCACATCGATGTTTCTCTGTCTTTCCCTCTCTCACTCTCCCTAAAAAGCGATGGAAAAATATCCTTGGGTAAGATTAAACAAATAATAATAATCCTATATAATAAAAGGCTAATATGCAAATCGACTGAACGGTGGAACAACTGGTTGCTATGATGCATACTGACCACCAGAGGGCAGACACTCAACACAGGAGCTGCCCCCTGGTGGTCAGTGCACTCCCACAGGGGGAGCGCTGCTCAACCAGAAGCCCTGAGCCAGGCTCGAGGCTGGCGAGCAGAGCGGCGGTGGCGGGAGCCTCTCCTGCCTCCACGGCAGCACTAAAGATGTCCAACTGCCGGCTTAGGGGAACAGGCCTAAGCCGGCAGTTGGACATCCCCCGAGGGCTCCCAGACTGCAAGAGGGTGCAGGCTGGGCTGAGGGACCCCACCCCCCAGAGTGCACAAATTTCATGCACCGGGCCTCTAGTAATAAAAATAAAATAAAATGTTGTCTTGCCCTGACCAGTGTTGCTTGATGGTTAGAGCATCAGCCCAAGCACCAGAGGGTCATGGGTTTGATTCCCAGTCAAGGGCAGGTACCTGGGTTGTAGGTTGAGTCCCTGACCCCAATGTTTGGGAGGCAACCAATTAATATGTCTCTTTCACATCGATGTTTCTCTTCTCTCCCCACCTCCTCCCTTCCACTCTCTCTAAAAAGCAATGGGAAAATGTCCTCAGGTGAGGATAACAAAAATAAATAAAAAAATTAAATGCTGTATTGCCCTGGCCTGGTAGTTCAGTTGGTTAGAGTGTAGTCCTGATACACCAAGGTTGCGGGTTTGATCTCCAGTCAGGGCGCATACAAGAAGCAATCAATGAATGCATAAATAGGTGGAATAGCAAATTGATATCTCTCTCTCTCTCTTTCTTTTTCTCTTTCTCTCCCTCTCTCTCTCTCAAATCAATAAGTAAAAATTTAAACACAATGATCTACTTGTTCGATAAACCCTGAGCCTCTGCTGTGTGCCAGACTCCAGCAGGTTGCTAAGGATAGGAAACAAAGTCAAACAGTCCATGCCGTCCATGTTGAAGTTGAGTTCACAGAAAAGTCTCCCAAGCTATTACACTGTCAGTTTAGGGTTACAAGTGGTATGCTAGAGAGGTCTGTTTCATGTACTCTGGGAGTATGGGGGAGGAACAAAATTAATTTTTCCTGGAATAGTCACACAAAGTGGCTTGATAATTGTTTATTGAATAATTTTCTTGAGTAAAAGTCTCCCAGAAGATGTTATATTTAATCTGGGCCTTAAAGGGTAAGTGGACATATGCCAGGCAGAAAAGAAGGAAAGATCATTCTAGGTAGCAAGAATGGCCCACACAAAAAGTAAAGTAACAGAGCATAAAGTGGGGAATGGTGAGTAGAGCCTGGGATGAGTTAGCTGGAGAAGAATCCAGAAAGGTAGGTTGGGGTAGTGTGTGAACGGGGCCTTGAATACCCATTCTCCTGTGGGCAATGGGGAACCATTTAAGATTTTCTGGCCGGGCAGTGACATGTTCAGACCTGTGTTCTTTCTCCCAACCAGAAGAGCAGCAGAAGCAAAGACAAGAACCAGTGCTGCCCCATCTGTAACATGACCTTTTCCTCCCCTGTCGTGGCCCAGTCGCACTACCTGGGGAAGACCCACGCAAAGAACTTAAAGCTGAAGCAGCAATCCACTAAGGTGGAAGGTACTGGTTTTCCTGAGTAGTGCTATATCGGGACCCCCCTAACCCCATTCTTAGGGCACTAATGCCAGGTGCTCCCAGAAATTATCACTGGGGCCACAGACTTGAAGAGGTTGAACTGCTTTTGGGAGCCCTTAAAAATATTAAAGTAGACCCAGCTTCATTGAAATGCAGTCTCAGAGTTGTACTCACCTAACCTCTCTTTATTTGGTTACATCAGTTTTTCTCTGTAGAAGCGTCTTAGCCCTGAGTTTTTGTTCTGACTAATAATTCGGGAGTGTCAAAGTCTTTCAGGCCATGCACACCATGACAGCATTCTACTTCCAACCTCTCCCACTTAGATTTTTTCCTCCCAGCATCCACCTGCACTTATTATCATATGTTCCAAGTTGAAAGCTAAAACCTAGTCTTTTTTGTGTGCTCAGGTTATGCCCTGCTCACTTTAATCTTCAAAGGTGCCTCTTCTCAAGACAGGGACTTGCCTTTCAAAGCTGAATACTTCAGTACTATCACTATTGCCCCATAAGCTGTGTTTGCAACTGCTATGAATTCATTCCCAGTATAGTGACTTCTAAAGTAACCCCCTTTATCTTGTCACCACTGGGGCTCTTGATTTCATCTCATTAACTCCTGACTTTCTGGGATTTTTTAACCTCTGCTAACTGCAGTTAGTCAAGAGTGAAAATTCTTTGATCTTTATTTTATTTTTTCTTGGCAACTTTTGCTTCTCTCTTCATTTTGGACCAAGAAGTAGATTATACTATCTATAATACTTATTATCCTTTTTTATATTATTGTATTATGAAAACAAGACAACAATGTTTTGGAAGGCTTTGAAGATAGAGTAAAAAAATTCACTTATAATTATACCTTCTTATCACACCCAAATCTAGTTATTCATGCTATGAAGCTGGGCTTTGAACTCACAGATGCCCAGGTTTAAATCTCAGGGCTGTTATTTACCGTCTATATGACTTCATGCCTGAGTTTCCTCACCTTCACAGGTTGTGAGGATGAAATAATATATATAGAACCTAGGACATAACAGATGCCCAGTAAATGACAGCTGCTATTGTTAGTATTATCACCATCATTAAGATAGCCAGTGAGTGGCATTCCCCACATCTAATGCAGTAGTTGGGCAGGCATCTACCACCTGAGCCTATTACTAACAATAATTGCTTTCGTTAAAGTCAGTGTTGGTACCATTCATGGCACCAAAAAAACTAAATATTAGGCCAAGAGAAACCAGCTTAGGAACAGAACTTTGTAAGGTCACTCACTTATCTTTATATGGACTTATCTCTCCATAAATAGGAAAATTCCCTGGAATATGCCTAGTCCCAAGGATTCCATATTCTGAAAGTTATTTTCCATATCCACTTTTGGCCTTTGCCACATGCATATATGTTTTTTTATATAGTTGTAATTGTCATGCATGTATCCTGCTTTTACTTTTAGTTTAAGCACATTTTCCTGTTATCACATGAGTTTATTAGTATGTTTCTGAAATTAAACATTTTAAATGTAAAAGTGATATAAGCATGTAAAAAATATGGAAAATATTGATAAGTGGAAAGAAAAAATGCCCATAATTTTACCATTCAGAGGTAACCATTGTTAACATTTTATAGTACTGTTTCTACTATAATCCTTTGCTGTGTGTGCGCGTGTATGTGTGTGTCTGTATCTGTTTTATGTATATCTAGATTGAATCCATGTATATGAACATATAAACATACAATACTTTAAATAATCTTGTTTTTATAAAAATGATGCATACTCATTATGAATAATTCTAGTTCAAACAATGCAAAAAGTACAAAGAAAAAAGTAAACTTTCACCCAAATCCTACCACCAAGAGAAAAACACTGTTAATATGTTGGTGACTTTCAAAATACCAGAACACACATATAAACTGTGTATGTGTCTTTTCACAATAATATAATTATATTGTGCGTGCAGTTTTCTTTTATACTCTTTTCATTTTAATTTAACATTTGCATTTCCTCATGTTATTAAGAACTTTTTTATAAACATTTTTAATGACTAGAAAGCATCTCATCATACCACATTCAACCATTCCTCTAATGTTTTTCCCTCTCTCCTTCTTGGTATTTATAAATAACTCTATAATAAACATCCATATAGAATACTCTTTCCATATTTCAAGCTGTTTCTTGAGGGAAGACTCCCAGAGGTCTCATTTTTATTGGATGTCCATTAAGTAGTTCCTTTAACTTTACTTAAGCATTTGCCTCTGATGCTTCTCTTCAGTATCTTTTAAAAAATGACCTTTATATCAACCATTATCTCTTTTCTGATGTCAAAAATCTACATTCATTGTAGAAAAGTTGGAAAATACTGAAAAGCCCCTTTACTTTATGCTTTTGGTCTTTTTCCATACATCACCAGTATGTTTTTGTTGCTTTACAGAATTGAGAACATAAGAAACACGTTTCTGTATAACCTTTTCTTTTTAACTCAGTACCACATGCTGAATATTCTCTCATATTATTAAATATTCTGCAACACATAAATTACTTTTCAAGTGACTTGCTGAAACAATGACCAAGGAAAATCAATGGCCAGAGAAATTGAGAGTCCCTATACTGGAAAATCACTGTGGGAAAAGCCAGCAAGTTTCTTCTGGCTTGCTAAAAATTCTCAAAACTTCCCGCATTAAAGTGGTACCAAGATGAAAGAGCACCTCAGACATCTGTGAGTGCTGCTGAGCCCCCCACCCCTCCTCCACCATTGGTGGAGGTTCTAGCTCACATTTTTAAAGCAGTGGTTACTAGATCCACACCATTCCAGCCATGTGGCCTCATTAGTGAGTTATGGCATCCACTCTATATGGCAGCAGCATGACCTGCAGTCAGCATTCGGACATCTCTTGATCCACAGGAGGTTTACACATATGCCCATAGCAGGCTCTGATTAACAGAATTCACTAACCAACACCAGGGATTTTTCTGAAGGTGAAAGCATGAACTGTAGCCTTCAGGTCCCCTCACCACACTCTGGCAGCCTGGCAGAGCAAAGAGGGCATGGTCTTTGGATCACACAGACTTTGGTTCCACTCACTAGCTGGGTGGTCTTGGGCAAGTCATTTGTCCTGTGAGCCCTGGTTTTTCTCTGTAGTGTAGCAAAATGATATACTCGTATACCTCATGGAGCAGTTCTGAGGACCAAGGGAGAAAATACATGTACAAAGCACATAAATAAATGTCAATGTCATCCTCTTCTCTCCCCACCTTAGCCCAGAAAGCAGTGTTGCCCAAAAAGCCTCCCAGTATAGTTGCCTTTTCTAAATGACCCTGCAAGCCCTCAGACCCTCAGTTTCTACATTTGCACATTGCCTCCCAGCTCTGTGGTACTGGGGTACTGTGAGGATGGGAATAAAACACCCAAACTTTTTATCCCACTTGCTGTGAAGTTCTGGGGAATTCTGAAGGATAAAAAGACTGCAAGCATGTACATCTCTGGTCTGTTGTCATTTACAACTTGATAGTAGAAGTGCAGAACCTCCTCAGAACGTGAGGAAATCAGGAATCGTGTTCCTAAAGTAGTTAACGCTATTGAACAGATTAGCTCCCCCAAATCTTTGCAGTTTTCTTACTCAGAGAAGGCTTTCACTGTGTGATTCACCCTGGCAGGGCCCCATGTGCAAGTGTGATTAACTAGTTACCAGTCTTCATTTGCATTCAGTATACTCAAAAAGCCTGGCACCTTCTGGGTTTTTTCATTGTTTCTGTTTGAACTCTCTCACTGCAGCTCTGTCGAAACGCCTTACAAACCCTTTCCTTGTGGCCTCCACCTTGGCCTTACACCAGAATAGAGAGATGATAGACCCAGACAAGTTCTGCAGCCTCTGCCACGCGACTTTCAACGACCCTGTCATGGCTCACCAACATTATGTGGGCAAGAAACACAGGAAACAGGAGACCAAGCTCAAACTCATGGCACACTATGGGCGGCTGGCAGACCCTGCTGTCACCGACTCAGGTAAGGAAGCCCAGCTCACACCCATAGTTGAATCAGAGCTGGACCACCAAGGCTATGCTTTTCCTCCTTAGGTCTCTTAGGGCAGACATGGCAAGCTCAAATGCCTGCAGAAGCCAGATAGGAAATTTAAATAAGGGAAAGAGCCTGGAGGTGATAGATCAGCTAAAAAGTGCATGCCTGACTGAGCCAGCTCTAGCCAATTATTTCCAGTTTTTCACAAGAATCTAGAAGCCAGATTTGAATAAGAATTCTTATTTTTAAATGTGCAACTAAATTTTTAAAATGTTAAGTCCTGTGAGATTTGGGCCAAGGGCCACCAGTTTGCAACCTCCGATTTAAACTCTCTGTCCACATTTTTCGTGTGAAGGCCTCAGCTGCTTCTGCCAGATTTTAGAGTGTCCTCAGGGCCCCTCCTTTCCCAGCAGTTGAGGCCTGCCTGTATTCCTAGGATAACATGGCGAAGACCATTCTGACTAAGAATATTAGCTGCTCCCCTCACCTCAAGATGCTCGCTCATCAGCATCACAGGAGTGAGCATTCACAAAAAATTGGAAGCCCTTCCCATCACAGTAACTACTCACTGCCTATAGTGAGGGAGGGGAAGAGAAGAGAGATTATTTTTTTATTCGGTCAGTCATTATTTATTGAGCACCCACTGTGTTTCTTCATTGAGGTATAGTAATGACCAGCACTGGCACAATTCCTGTCTCATGGAGCCGATGTAAACTTTTGTGTTGGTCCTCAGGGTTTCCTCCCTAGGCCATGGAGATCCAGCACCAGATAGTCAATACTTGAGGCCCCATGGCATCCAGGTACTAACATCTTGGCCTCAGGGAAACTGATTCTCAGAATCATCTGGGTTCTTCCCACAGTGCTGAAGAGGTGAACATACAGTTGTCTTAGATGTTCCAGATCACATATGGGCAAGGGGAGGGATCATGGCTCTCTAAAAACTCTCCAAACCTGAAAGCAGCCATACAACCCAGGTTGTCCTTGGGCAATACTGACACAAATGAGAAGGTGCGAAGCAGTGGCTATGAAGCAAAGTGGGCAGCTCTTGAGCAGGGTGCCAAGGATTGCTCCACCAATGCCATTGAAAGACCCTGCTTTATAAACCTGTTCAAAATTGGAGCCCTGGCCCATGTGGGTCAGTTGGTTGGGCATTGTGCCCATGCACCAAAAGGTTGCTGGTTCGATTCCCCAGTCAGGGTTCATGCCTGGGTTGTGGGCTCAATCCCCAGTAGTGGGTGTATAGGAGACAGCCAATCAATGTTCTGCCCTCACATTAATGTTCCTCTTTCTCCCTCTCCCTTCCTCTCTCACTAAAAATCAATTTAAAAAAAAATTTTAAGACTTAATTTGAAAGGGATCACTGGTATCTACTTACCATTCCCACATACAGGCAGTGCCTTCCCCTTTAATAGGATCAGTATCATGCTGAGGAATCTGGAAACCTAGATCCAAGTTCCTTAGAACCCCACTTCATGACATACCAGGCTAGATTTGAATATTTTGGCCTGTAACTGATAGGAACATAGCATCCAGCTGGCATGACCCAGGAGTCTCTTGCAGCTGACCCTTCTTTGCTCTAGCTCCTGCTTCTCCTTTACTAGGCCCTGCCCTTCCTTATTATCTCTTCTCTACTGACAAGACACAGGCACTGCAATGTTTTTGGGCTGCTTATCTTAACTTGTAGCCATTCTGTTCTTTTATCTCAAGCCAAAGCCTCCCTTCTATATCTACACTCCTCCATTTATCTAAATTACATACGTAATCCTAGAACTATAGCCTTGATCTTTTTTTTGCTTAAGGCATTTGCTTTAAAGGTCAGCCAAAGTCTTTAATGAAAACCTGGGCAGAGGAGTAAGGGGCATCATGTGCCCCTTTATTTAACACTAGAGGCCCGGTGCATGGATTCGTGCACCGGTGGGGTCTCTTGGCCTGGCCTGCGGGGAATCAGGCTGAAACCGGCTCTCCGACATCCCCTGAGGGGTCCCATATTGCAAGAGGGCGGTTCTCTGGTGACACAACCGGAATTAGGCTCCCTCCTCCCTGGTTTTAGGTGCATCGCCCAAGAACCACCACTGCCAAGTGACTGCAGCTCGGCAGCTCCTGCATTGAGCGTCTGCCCCCTGGTGGTCAGTGCACGTCATAGCTACTGGCTGGTCAGCTGGTCGCTTAAGCTTTTAGATAGATAGATAGATAGATAGATAGATAGATAGATAGATAGACAGACATTATAATTTAATCCCATGGCATTTCTATAAATAGGCATGGTTTTCCTACTTCACAAATAAAAAGATGAGACTCAGAGTGATTTACTCAAGGACATATAGCTGATATACCTGATGTTAATCAGTGTCTGGTCTCTAGCTCTGTCTGGTTTCAAACCTTCTTCCTTCTGCCTCCAGCTCTGAATGTACTTAGCAGAAGGCTTTTTGGGTACAGGTTAGCCACAGATGTACTGAGCCCACCCTGACCCTTCTTACTCTTAGTATTGAACTAAGGTATGCAGGCAGTGACTTCAACTTTCTGCCTTAGCAAAAGATTGTTGACTTCTTTTCCCTGCTGGCTTCAATTCAGTCGAAGCTTGTTCATGCATTCCTTCCTTCATTCAGTCAGCTATCCTATATTTACAGATGGCTCTGGTCATCCAGGCCTTAGGCTAGATGCTCTCACATGTAATTACCTGATTTAATCCTCACAACAACTTTGTTGTGCAGGTTTTATTATCCCCATTTTACAAATGAAGACATTAGAATCAGAAAGATGAAATGATTTGTCCTAGGCCCTACACTAGGCAGTAGCAGAGCCAGCACTGAAACAGGTCAAGTTCTATGTTAGGTCCAGAGAATAGTTTCCATGGGGCTCCTGGCAAGTGTCTCATGACAATTTGGGTCAAATGTGAGATGTCCAGGGGTAGATGCGCATCTACTAAGCAAATCAAACAAGGCTTGGTTTGCTTTATACTCCAGGCTCACATTCCTTTCATTTACCCAATAACTAAAACTAAAACCTGCATATCATTAAGGCAGCCAAATCCTTCCAGCCTCCAGAGCACTCAGCATCTCCTCCAGGTTACTGAAATCCTCTGCTTCACCTCATCACTTTCTTTCCCTACTTCTGACCTTGTCTCCTACACAAAACAGGTCTGCTTTCTCTGCCCCAGGCTGAACCCTCAGTTTCTTCAATCCCTATACATAGGATGGTTCTCAGGTCTTATAAAAGTTATATGTAGTCAAGACATATTTCTTGATCTCTTAATATATGCCAGCCATTGTATATATGGTAGTAAATAAGGGGTATTGTCCAAGTTCTCATGGAACTTGGAGACTACAGAGAAGATAGGCATTGAGCAAATAACAAGTGTGACAAGCTTTACAACAGGAAATAAATGGGATACTATGGAGTTAACCTAATATGAGGGAGCAGGGGTCAAGGAAGGCTTCCCAGAGGGCAAGGGGGAGACATGGGGCAAAATGATGCTGGGGAGATGAGCAAGTGTACATTCATGGCATTGTGTGTTATATTAAGGATTTGGATTTTTATCATAAGAGCACTGAGAAAACATTGACAGTGTAAGCATTATTCAATCATTGTTACAAAGTGGAGAATGGTTTAGAATAGGGGGGAAGAGTAGTGGGGAAAGAACAGCAGTGAGACAATTGTAGTAATTCATAGAGGAGACGACAGGAATTTGGACTAAGATAGCAGTGGGGGAGGTAGAATAAATGGATTTGAGATGTATTTAGGAAGTAGAATTGTCGGACTTAGCCATTGAATGAGAGAGATGAAAGAAAAGGAACAGTCAAGGATGGTGCCCAGATTTAGTCTTAAGCATTTTGGTGGGTAACCAGGTTTTGTCAGCTTGAATTTAAACTGCCCATGAGAAGAAGATGTTGATGAGGCAGTTGGATATATAGGTCGAGACCTCAAACAAGAGGTCTGAGTTAGAGATATTGTCATTTTAGTAGGTTAGAAACTTAAATATTGGTAATTCCATATATTTTAACCTAATAAGTGGCAATTGAAGTCTGGGGAATGAATATGATCCCTTAAAGACTTTAGAGAGAGCCCTAGCCAGTTTGGCTCAGTTGAAGAGTGTCAGCCCAAGGACTTGAAGGGTCCCAGGTTCAATTCCGGTCAAGGCCATGTATCTCGGTTGCAGGCTCAATCCCCGGCTCTGGTTGGGCAGTGTGCTGAAGGCAGCCAGTCGATGTTTCTCTCTTTTTGTCTCTCCCCATCCCTTCCACTCTCTCTAAAAATCAATGGAAAAAGATCCTCGGGTGAGGATTAACAAAAAATAAATAAAATACATTTTAAAAAAAAGTTTAGAGAGAGAAGAGCTAAGGATCTGAGATTGAGCCCTCTGGACATTCTGTCACATGCTACAACATGGATGAGCCTTAAGGACATTATACTAAGTGAAATAAGTACAGACAACCAATCTTGTCTGATTTTACTTGTATGAGATATCTAGAGTAATCAAATTCATTGGGTTCGGGGTTTGGGGAGTTCTTTAATGAGTGTGACTTTTCAGTTTTGCAAGATGAAAAAGTTCTGGAAATAGGTTGCACAGCAATGTGAATATACTTAAATATGATGAAAACACAAATTTCTCTAACCAGACCTATCTTTTGATATTACTGAATTGTGCACTTAAAATGGTTTAGATGGTAAATTTTCTATTGTATTTTACCACAATTAAAAATAAAATAATAGCCCTAGCTGGTTTGGCTCAATGGATAGAGCGTCAGCCTGTGGACTGAAGGGTCCTGAGTTCAATTTCGGTCAAGGGTACATGCCCGGGTTGCGAGTTCGACCCCCCAGTAGGGGCATGCAAGAGGCAGCCAATCAATGCTTCTCTCTCATCATTAATGTTTGTATCTCTCTCTCCCTCTCCCTTCCTCTCTGAAATCAATAAAAAATATTTTTTTAAATAAAATAATAAGGAAATAAAAAGAAAGAAAAAGTTGCACCCTCTGGAATGCCACTATTAATGGTGGAAGTCAAACAGGAGTTAGCAAGAGAAGGAGCCACCAGAGGACAGAAAACAAGAGTGTGCATGCTGAAAGCCATGGGCGGGAGATGTTGAAGAAGGGAGGAGTCACCAGTTTTCTCGGGAGCTGTTGAAAGCTCAAATAGGATGAGGCCTCATAAGCATCCATTTTGTCCATTAAATTTAGATATAAGGAAGCCACCATTGGCCTTGGAAAGGGTGTGCACACGCACGTGTGTGTGTGTGTGTGTGTGTGTGTGTGTGTGTGTGTGTGATGGGATAGGTTGCAAAGAAATTGAAAGGCAAGGAAATGGAGAGACAAGTGTAGACAGGTCTTTCAGAAGGCTTAGCAGTAAAAGGAAGGATATATATGTGCTTTTCCAAATAAGCCAGATGTTCAAAAGCCAGCTCTAGTGACTTACACTTTATGAAATCACATGGGTAAACAAAAATATCAAACATGTAAAATGAAAAGCAGATGATAATTGATAAGTACTGGACAGATATTGTTTTGTGTTTTTTTTTAGAGCATTGATCAGTTCCTCTGAAGACATGCTTATTGGGATATATATGTGCTTTTCCAAATAAGCCAGATGTTCAAAAGCCAGCTCTAGTGACTTACACTTTATGAAATCACATGGGTAAACAAAAATATCAAACATGTAAAATGAAAAGCAGATGATAATTGATAAGTACTGGACAGATATTGTTTTGTGTTTTTTTTTAGAGCATTGATCAGTTCCTCTGAAGACATGCTTATTGTTTTTTTTTTTTTTTTTTGAGAGAGAGAGGGGAATGGGGAAGGGAGAGAGAGAGGGAGAAACATCGATGTGAGAAAGAAACATTGATCACTTGCCTCCCTTACACACCTTGACTGGGTCTGAACCCACAACCTAGGCATGTATTCTGACCTTGAATTGAACCCACAACCTTTTGGTGTATGCTCCAACCAAATGAGTCACGCAAACAGGGCTCAAATGACCATTTTGAATCTAGTTTACGGATGAGTAGATAGTATGTTGAGATCTTGTACCTCACAAAGGAGATAGAAGAGTTAGAGACATATGAAGAATGGGGGCGTCATGACCAGAGGGAAAATCCCAACTCTGACCCCAGGTCAACCACTTAACTTTTCTGGGCCTGATTCCTGATTTGAAAAATGGAGATAATCACCTATCTTACATGATTATTGTAAGAATCTAGAGACATATACTGTATATCCAAAATTCTGGTGTGGTGCCTAGTGCTTAATAGATAATAAGAGTAGGCTATTGTAATCTGGGTATCAGTGACTCTTAGCCACACCAACCCCAGGTCCCATTCTTGGCTTGGGGGCAGGGTTGTTCTAGTCCATTATGCATCTTTTCCATGTTAGTGTTGAACCATGAATTCTGGCCTTAAATGTCTAAAAAGGACCTGAATTCTGATTGCAGGAAGTTTCTCCATAAGTGAAGAAACAAGGAAAACAAACAGAACTGGAATATTGGCTAGCTTATTTGAGTAGAAGAGATTGTTGGTATTCTCAGAAGCTGCAGTTGCCATGAAAGGCTGCTTAAAAGACTTTGGCTACCTCTACCAGCATGATTCATATAACCCATAAGAGTGAAATAATCTATATATATATATATAAAAGGCTAATATGCTAAGTGTCCCTCCTACCGTCCGACTGGTCGCTATGACATGCACTGACCACCAGGGGCCAGACGCTCAACGCAGGAGCTGCCGAACTGCAGTGACTTGGCAGCTGCAGTTCTTGGCTGATACACCCTGAAACCAGAGAGGAGGGAGTCCAATTCCTTGTGGGGCTGTGCTATCCCACCTTCGGCCGTGGGTTACGTTGTTGCTGGGGCACTTTCGGCCCCGAATCTGGTTTACTGCACACTTGTGTTTGCGTTCCACACTCTATATAACAGTAACTTTGCAGAGTGCCCTCTCGCACTCTGGGACCCCTTGGGGAATGTCGGAGAGCCGGTTTCGGCCGATCCCCGCAGGCCAGGCCAAGGGACCCCACCTAGCAGAAGGACCCCTGCTCACTCAGCAGATGCCTTTCAAGCCACAGCACCACCCCAGGTGCAGCTGCTGAGGAGGGACCATGGGAAGTTGGCTCCAGGGCGTGTCTGGCTCAGAACGTGTCTGGCCTGTCTCGCCCAGTCCTGCCCCGCTGGCCACCCTCTAATTAATTTCCTTTCAATGTGCACGAATCCATGCACCGGGTCACTAGTAATAGTGATAAAAGCGTACATTTGTTGAACACTTACTTTGTGCCAAATGCTTTTATTTGAGTAATTCCAATAACCTTATGAGGTTGATACCAATATTGACCTCATTTTATAGATAAGGAACCTGTTTCAGAGAAGCCTCACTTTTGCAAATGAGAAAACCAAATCTCAAAGAGATTAAGTAATTGGCTATGGTCCTAAAGGTAAGAAATGATAGAGACTTTTTATTATAAGTATTATGGTTATGAGTTGTAATATAATTGGTTTACAATTGAGAAAAGCTGAGGATCAGAAAGGGGAAGGGAGTCAGCCAAGGTCATATGAAGGCAGAGCCAGGATTCCAGCCCCATATTTTGGCTCCTGGCCACATTTCTCTACTAGACAATGTGGAGAAAGACCACTTCATCATTGGAGCAGCCCTGGTAGTGAGACAAGGTGTCTGAGAGCCCGAAGGTAGAAAAACAGATCGATTTTCATAACAGGCATTTTCATTAATTACTGTTATTGCAAGCCCAAGGAGAGTGGCACCTTCCCAGAGACCCCTGGGCAATGGGCATTCTTAGTGAGCTACTTAGCACAGTCAAGGTGGAAAAGACACTTACACCAAATGTCACCTCTTTGTTCTGTCAATCTTTTATTTACTCAACAGACACCTACTCTGGACCAGGTGAAACACTGGGACTGGGTGGCCCAAAGGGGAAAGAAGAGGTTTACATCTTCAGGGTGCACTTAGGCACATAGCATATGCCTCCTGAGCACTGAGGCCTTCAGGATTCTCATCATGGCCAATCACCTGACCTCATCCCACCCCTCTGTCCTCAGAAGTACATTTGCATGCACTGTCAAAGCAGGTCCCTTCTTATTGGATAACTAAGCATCTTGGCTTTTATGTGTGTTTCAGCCGGGAAGGGCTACCCATGCAAGACATGTAAGATAGTGCTGAACTCCATAGAACAGTACCAAGCTCATGTCAGCGGCTTCAAACACAAGAACCAGTGAGTAATCATTCTTTGAAGTTCAAGGTCTGCAGTAGGAGCTCTGGGCTTCTGAATCAGAATAAAGCCAAGTACTCCTTGCCTAAAAGGGAATCCTGACAGCTTTTTCTCGGCCAATAGATCAGTTAATAGAAAGAAATATCTCCTCTGCAAGTTTTTCTCCCATCAGCTTCACCCTAGCTTTCTCCCCTCCTGGGCTGAAAGTTTTGGTAAAGAAGCATAGACAATTTCCTTGGTGGTCTCCTAAGAAAGAGTACTTGAGGGAAAAAAGAGTACTTGGATTTCCTGGCCTGTAGCAGTTGGACTAGGGAAGTCTTTTTTCACTGGTCTGAAGACCCTGTTCTTCACTACCATCAATTCTGTGACAAGAGCTCCCTCTACAGGTTATTACAAAGTATTACCAGGTTCTGTCATTCATTAATCAAAGATTTATTGAACACCTTGAGTAGTTAGTAGCCCCAACAGATCCAACCCCTGCTCTCAAGACCTTACATTCTGATAGGAGACAAAACATAAGTAAATAACCAATAATTACAAATTATGTTAAGTTATTTTTAAAATATTTTTTTTTATCGTTGATAGTATTATAGATATCTCCCATTCCCGCCCCCCCTCCTCCCAGCCCCTACCTGGCCTCCCAGGTCTTCACTACCCTATTACCAGTGTCCATGAGCTATCATATAAGTATATAAGTTCTTTGGTTTATCTCTTCTCATCCTGTGATAAGTTCTTTGAGGGAAGAGATGAACAGAGAGTTGGCTATTCATGGTAATCTTGAAAATGACTAACATTCTTTGAGCACCTGTTCTGTTACAGGCCATATGCCAAGCAGTTTCTCTCTCAGGTAATTCTTAAGCAACCCTTGGAGGAAGGGATTATTATTCTGATTTTACAGAGATAAGCAACCACCACTAAAAGTGAACCTATTCCCTGCCGGCGTGGCTCAGTGGTTGAGGTTCGACCTGTGAACCAGGAAGTCACGGTTCAATTCCTGGTCAGGGCACATGGCACATGCCCAGGTTGTGGGCTCGATACCCAGTATGGGGCATGCAAGAGACAGCCAATCAATGATTCTCTCTCATCATTGATATTTCTGTCTCTCCCTCTCCCTTCCTCTCTAAAATCAACAAAAATATATATTTTTAAAAAGCGAACCTATTGAGGCAGAGCCATAATTCAAACTGAGGCTTATCTGGCTTACAGCATGCTCCTTCAGGGCATCATGCTGACAGGGAGGTTGTAGCACCACGCGAGATTGAAGAGGCTAGGGTTCGGCCAGGGAGGGCCCTCATAGTTATGTCTCACCTCTCAGAAAGGAACTGTGTAGTATGGACAGTGTGTCACAACATAACCTTCTGAGGTAGAAATTATCCCCTCATTTTACAGATGAGGAAACGGAATTTCAGGCAGGCAAGTCTGCTGAAATGATAACTTTGACTTCAGTATTTGGTTCTGCATTACTCACCGAGCCAAATGAATTAAAGGTGGTAGAAACAGAATGTTGGAGTCAAAATGTCCTTGGTCCTCTCTACTCTGCCTTAGGTCTCCTCTCCCACACTGCAGAAGGTCTTTCTCTTTATTTGTAGATATGTCTTTAACTGGGAGGACTCTTGAGATTTCTCTTAGATATGGACTTGAAACAAGCTCCAGCAACCCCGCTTCAGGCTCTCTCCTGTTTCAGCATGTCTGCAGCTTGTGACACCTTGACTGGTGGCAATTTCACAGACATTCTGGAGCCAGCCAGAGCCCTGTCCTGAGGCTACCCATACTTGAAAATGCTAGTGTTGTTTACTATTTTATTCCTATACTTTCCAGCTGTGTCACCTTAGGCAAGTCAGTAAACCACTCTGAGCCTCCAGTTCCTCTTCTGTAAGATTATAGCTATAATCTCATCTAATTCAAAACAGCAGCTCTGAATTAGGACCACCCTTTTACAACCCAAGGAAACCTAATGTCAGGTAGGTTAGGTGACTTGCCTAGGATACTTGGAATTAAAACCAGGTTTCAAACCTCTTTGATTCCAAAGCCCATTCATTTTGCTCTGCCACTTCCAAATGGAGCTCATTACCCCCACCTTCTGGGATGCTGTGAGGGTTAGAGACAATGTAGTTCAAGTACCAATAAGGGGAGCTATTTGAGATGAGCTTGTATCCACTCAGCAGATACTTACTGACACCTAGTGTGCCAGGCCTTTCGATTTGGACACTGGGGCTACTGTAGGAATCAAGACCAATGCTGTTCCCGGATCCTTTGGATTCCCCTCTGGTGGTAGAAGCAAATCCATAAACAAATAAGTCATCAGGTGGTACTAGGTGACCAGAGTGGGATGGAGAGTGACAGGAGAGCCACTGTAGATTCTGTGTGAGGAGGAGAATGGTCATTCTGTACCATTCAGGTCCTGTGGGCCCTTCAGGCAGAATAAATGGTGTGCTCTAGTGGGAAGACATGGACTGGTCTGCAATCCTGAATCTACCACACTTAAAAGCTTTCTGTGGGCAGGTCACTTACACTTTCTGAACTTTAGTTTTCTCATATGTAAAATGGAGGTGCTGTTCCCCACCCCTCCTTGCAAAATTGCCATGAGGACGAAATAGGATGCTGTAAGCAAAGCATCCATTATCGTGCGTAGTATATTGTGGCCCTCCATAAAAGGGAGCTGTCCTGTTTGTCAGTCCAAGGCCCAGAAGAGGTGTCTACCATTAGAATAAGCTACCTAGGGCACCATTACAACCACCAGAAACTGACCCTGTGCCTTTGTTCCTTCTCATATTACAGGTCACCAAAAACAATGGTATCATCTCTGGGCCAGATTCCAATGTAAAGACAACCCATTCGAAAAGACTCAACTACTTTGGAAGACTAGAGGTGTTTCTGTCCAGCACCCCAGGTTGAATCAGCCATGAGCCAGCCTCCTCCTGACCATGACAATGGTCAGCCCTTGGCTCCCTCTTCCTCCTTTCTTACATAGACCTGAGGAATAGGCCACAGGCAGCCTCTGATTGGTCCAGGCAAATCCACCCGTGTTCCTCTCCTTTGGAATGGGCCCTGAAAGTCAGGACAAAGGGGGATTTTTAGAGGACTTGGGTTCTCACAGGGTAGTAGTTTAGAGGATGGCCTTTCCCCTTCCCTGGCCCTTCTAGGCCACATGTCATGAGGCTCCAGTCCTGTATTTCCTCTGCAAGTCAGTTTTGGACCACTCCTTGCAGCTAAACAACTGAGCTCTCCTGGGCTCTAGGCGTCTTCAATGAAATTTGGCACTTTCATGCCATACCTTGGCCTAGGCAGGAAAGGGCAGATGAAAATAGCTGCCACACGGAAGCTTAGAGATAATGTGACACTCACCCTCCCCCAAAAATGTGCAGACTTTCCTAAGCCTGGGACCAGATGCTGGCCAGTTGTATAGGTTTCTGCCCACTGTGAAGTCTCCTCCTGGAGCAATGCTACAGTCCTGGCAGAGTGTTGCTGTCCCTCCTGCCCCTTCTCCACAGTTCCTGAATGGTGCTAAGGACCTGCAGCAGCTGGAGGCAAGCTAGAGCTGGAGAAGGCCTCAGTACCTAGTGGGATCATGGAAAGGCTCCAGTGGGGTCTTTCCTCTGTGTCAGAGGTGCTCTGACCCAGTTCACATGGGAAAGTCCCCATATGCAAGTTTGCTTGATGGTTCTTGAGCCAGCCAGCTCAGAGATTCATTGCTGCCCATTGGCCTCCACTAGCTCTTTCCTTCCCCATGTGCAGCAGACCACCTGCTCAGGTTGCTGTGGTGCTACCCCTCCCCCATCACCCGCCAGGAGATTCCTGGGTACCAGGTAAAGAAAGGAGGGCTGGCACAAGTTTCCATGGTGAGGAATCAGATGTTCCCCAGGCCCCAAACCTAGATTTCTCCAGCTCTGCCATGCTTTATGGCCTTGGACTTCACTGGGAGTATATTTTTTCTTATATCTTTCAAGCAGGAATTCTAGGGAGTGGTACCATCAGAGGCCCTCCTTCATTGGGCCAAAGAAGCCCCTATTCTGCTCTCATCACCTCTGCCTCCCACTCCCTATCCCTTGCCTGTGAAATGCCTTTAGTATTGTGTGTGGGTATGTGCTTATGCTCTGTCTCTTGGTCACTGAAGCATCTAAATAAAGAATTTATCCCATGAGCCAGACTGCAACTTAACAGAACTAGGACTTGGGGCCATATTGCCATTGGGTCTAATATGTATATCTTGATCCCTCACCCTTATCCCATTCATACTCCACAGTCCTAAATACTGGTCTTAGGAATTGGGACAGAGAGAGGCATCCAAATTGTTTGGCAACCCTGAGGAAGTCTTCACACGTGCCCTAAATTCAATAGAACCTCATCTGTTCATTCACCTTCCCCGTAATGGAGAGCCTCATGGAAGTCTCTAGAAAATGTAAACTAGTAACCTGCTTTGCTTGAGAGGATTATTCTGGCTGCTATGTACAGAAGGGATGTAGGAGAGCAGGAAAGGACACAGACAGAGGTCAATGGAGGCTGTGTCCAATATGGCTCTTTCCAGGCTAACCCCTTCAGGGCAGAGACCTAGCCTTGTTCATCTCCACTTCCCTGATATACAGAGTGGTGTGTCATGAAGTGTTTCTTGAATGAACGAGTGAATGAATGAATATGCATAAGGAGAAATGGCCCTGGTAATTCTTGGAAGAACCTTTTCCATGACCCAGAAATGAGCTGAGAAAGGAGTATGATGGCTTCAGGAGTCCTTTGTCCAACCTTTGTTTCAGACGGTCAGATGTGAGGAAGGTGCTCACACAGCTTTAGCTCCCATTCTTCACTCAGCAAACTGTTCTTGAGCACCTGCTCCAGGCCAGCTGGCAAAGACCCTACACAGCCCCAAGTGTGGATTCTCAGCTCTCAGCTTCCAAAGCCCAGACTGTCTCAGCATTTTCCCCAGAATCCTTCTCTCCCACCCAGGATGTCAGAATTGGGCCCATCTACCAAGCAAGGAAGTGAAGTGAAGGGCAGAGGAATGGTGGGCTGCCATACCATGCCATACTCTTGGCCTGCAGGACCGCTTTGGATTCAGGAGTCCCTGCCAGCTGTGTTCCCAGCCCCGTTGGCATGGGGATACAGGAATGAACACTTTTCTTTGGAGAGCTTACCACTGTTAAAGACCATTATGGCAGTGGTCAGAGGTTCATACTGGGTGCTGTGGGAATGCGCAGGATGCAGGCACTAACTCAAGCCAAGGGTATGAAAAGCTGGAGAAGTTGGGAAACCAGCATTTGATTTGCATAACAATCTTTTGAACTAGGTGATGGTATTCTATTTTCTAGAAAAGGAACAAGGCTTAGAGAGGTGAGTGATTTGCCCAAGGCCTTGCCACTAAAACGGCAAAATGGGGAGTGGAATCCGGTTGTCTAGATTCCTATTCCAGAACCCTTTCAAACAAGGACCAGAGTCCTTCCCACATGACCCCCTGGCCTGCCTCACCTATCTGGCTGGGTCATGGTCTCAGAGCGAGCAGCCACTCAGGGCAGGGTAGCAGCAGCACCCACAAAACAGGTCACACAAGGTTCATTGATTATTTTATATTCCAAGCCCCCTCATACTTCTCATAATTTTACCCAAGATTCTCAGTGTATTCGGCTCTAATTGTAACTGTGAGAAACTTGCAATGGCTAGCTAAAAAGGAAATTTACTGATTCACCTAATGAAAAAACTTGGTACAGGGATGGCTAGACCCAGGTTCTGACAGTGTCATTAGTAAGAATTCAATCTCGCCATGCTTTCTTCTGTGTGGCCTCCCTTGGGCAGACTGCAGAAAGTGGCAAGATGGCCACTGGCAGCTCTAAGCTTATATCCTGATAGATTAGCAACTGCAGTGGGAAGAACATCTTTTTCTATTAGTTCCAAAAAAAATTCTGGGACTGACTCATTAGCCAGCTTGGTCCAGTTCCCATCCCTAACCATTCACTGTAGGTAGGAGAAATGGTGCTTTGATTTGGGGCCTGCAAAGGAATGAGCTCCACCTAAAACTGATTGACTGAAAGGGAGAGATGTGTCCCTAAGAGAAGAAAGTGTAGGGCTCTCTCCAGGCTAAGGGAGAAGATTGGGTGTAGATGGGCAAAAATAACTTGTCAGCCACACCAGAAAGTGTCTTTATTTAACCATTTCTTTTTTATTTTTACCCAGACGTTTTGAGATACAGGATACAGTTAGTAATGTGCGCCAATTTTTAGAGTACAGTTTGCTGAGTCCTCCTCACATATGTGTATTCATCTGGGCATTCACCCTCCAGATCAAAATACAGAACATTGCCAGCTCCCCAGAAGGTTCCCTTGTTTCTCTTTCTAGTTAGTATACCCCAGAGGTAAACACTATTTTGATCTCTATCACCATAACTTAGTTCTGCTTGCTCTTGAATTTTATAAAAATGGAGTCATACATCCATTTTTGCTCAATATTATGTCTGTGATTTCATCCATGTTATTGTGTATATCAGAAGTTCATTTTTTTCATGCTGTGTGGTAACTCATTATATGAATACACCACAAGTTAGCCATTCTGTTGATGGACAATTGGGTTGTTTCTAGTTTTGAACTATTATAAATAAAGCTGCTGTGAATCATTTTGTCTGTGTTGTTTGTTGTACATGTGCACGAATATACCCAGGAGTGAAATTGCTACATCATAGGTAGGTACATTTAGCCTGTCTAAATACTGCCAAATGGTTTTCCAGAGTGTTTCTACCAACCTACATACCCACCTGCATTGTGGGGGAGTTCCACTTATTCCATATCCTTGCCAGCACTTGCTAGTTTTGGTCTCTAATTTTGGCCAGTCTGGTGATACCTAGGAATTTGAACCCAAGGATCCTGACTTCATACCAAAGCCACTCTTACTCTGTTCACCCCCGAGATCAGGTTTGAATTTTTCTAGCCTAGAATGAATTCTGATGTCAGTGCCCAGAACCCACAATACAATACAATCCAGCAGGTAAACATCAGAGAGAACTGTCCATGGCTCTGATGGTCAAGAAAGGTCTCACAGAGGAAGAGGAATCAGCCATGGAGAGGCAGTCCGGTGTAATAGCAAAGAACTCAGGCTCTGGAATCCGGCAGCCAGGGTTCAGATCCCAGCTCTGCCACTGTGGGGCTATGTGATCTTGGTTAGTTGACCTATATCTCAAGGTGAAACAGTACCTACCTTATAGGGTTATTGTAGGAATAAAAAGAAAAGTTATATATGAAACAATTGCACGATAGATGCTGTGTAAGTCTACTGCCATTTTTCTATTATTGGCCTACAGTAAACTCTGGGCCTCCCTGGGAAGGAAGGTGAGTCCACAGGTAGATTGCATTTGGCACAGTCCTGTGTTAAGACTTAATGATTGCGAAGGGATTAACCAAAAATAGAAAACCTCCTAGGCCAGTGATGGTGAACCTATGACACGCTTGTCAGAGGTGACACGCAAACTCATTTTTTTTGGTTGATTTTTCTTTGTTAAATGGCATTTAAATATCCTATCTAATAATAGACAAACATGGTAATTGACCATACCTTCGGTACGCCTCCCATTGGCTAATCAGCACGATATGCAAATTAACCACCAACAAAGATGGCAGTTAATTTGCATACGTACGCTCCAAGCAGTGGAGCGAAGCCTGATGGCCCCGGGGTCGGCAGAGCAGCGAGGCCTCACGGCTCCGGGCCGGCAGAGCCGTGAGGCCTGATGTTTCTGGGCCGGCGGAGCAGCAAAGGCTGATGTTTCCGGGGCCGGCTCCGGCCGGAACTCGACCAGAGCGAAGGCCTGGGCCCCGGGTGCCAGAGGCAAACTGGTGCCAGCAGCCAGGGGAAAGGAAGGCCTATTGCACGAATCTCATGAATTGGCAGAACTTAAACCTCAGCTGGAAGAGAAATGGGGGGAGTAGCTAGCGTTTTGAGCTTCTATCATGAGAGTGAACTGTGCCACATAAAATGGAGGTATTTCTCAAACCTAGCAAACAGTTCAGATGACAAACACCAGAATAAGATCTGATCTTGTGGTGGTTCTAAAATGTATCCACAGCCGAAACCAGTTTGGCTCAGTGGATAGAGCGTCGGCCTATGGACTGAAAGGTCCCAGGTTCGATTCCGGTCAAGGCATGTACCTGGGTTGCGGGCACATCCCCAGTAGGAGATGTGCAGGAGGCAGCTGATCGATGTTTCTCTCTCATTGATGTTTCTATCTCTCTCCCTTCCTCTCTATAAAAAATCAATAAAATATATAAAAATAAAATAAAATGTATCCACAGCCCTAGCCGGTTTGGCTCAGTGTAGAGAGCGTCAGCCTGCGGACTGAAGGGCCCAGGGTTCAATTCCAGTCAAGAGCACATACCTTGGTTGCAGGTTCCCCAGCCCGGGTCGGGGTGTGTGCAGGAGGCAACCAATCAATGTGTCTCTCTTACATTGCTGTTTCTCTCTGTCTCTCCCTCTCCCTTCCACTCTTTAAAAAAATAAAAATCAATGGAAAATCCTCAGGTAAGGATTAACAAAAAATAAAATATATCCACAAATTTCTTTATATTGTTCTCTTCAAGAGGTCAAATTTAATCTCCTCCTACCCCACTCCCCATCCCCATGTGGGCTATACTTAATGTGGATAAAAAAGAGATTCTACAGAAAGTGACTTCACAGGGTGATCTGGTCATAAATTCCTAACTGGGCAGAACATGCTGGGTAGCCTTGCCCTAGGCATGTGATTTATTTGGTAAAAGGTTTACCTTTGCCTTAAACCAGCCCTGTGCATCTAGGTTAACACACCCTTGAAATGCCCCCTTTCAGACTCCTCCTTCTGAACCATGACCATCCTCAAGAGAGCACATAGTCTTTTCTTTTAATATAGACTATGCTATATATTTATTTTTTAAGTTGATTTTTTAGAAAGAGAGGGAGGAAGAGGGAGAGAGAGCGAAACATCAATGGGTTGCCTCCTGCACACCCCCCCTTCCCCCAGCCAGGGATCAAGCCCACAACCCAAGCATGTGCCCAAACCAACAACCTCTTTTTTTTTTTGGAGGCACTGCTGGGATTCGAACCCACCAACAACCTCTTGGTGCATGGGACAATGCCCAAGCAAATGAGCCACACCAACCAGGGCTTTTTTCCACACTAATATTTTTTTATTGATTTTAGAGGGAGAGGGAGAGAAAAATCAATGTGCAAGAGAAACATCCATCAGTTGCCTCCTGTACGCACCCCAGCCAGGGACTGAACTCACAACCTGGGTATATGCACTAATTGGGAGTTGAACCGGCAACCTTTCAGTGCACAGGACAATGCTCAACCAACTGAGCCACATGGGCTAGGGCCAAGACCACATAGTCTTTCTTTTTTTTCATTGATTTGAGAGAGAGAAACTTATTTATGCATTCATTGGTTAATTCTTGTATGTGCCCTGACCCTAGATCAAACCCACAACCTTGGTGTATTGGGACAACACTCTAACCAACTTAGCACCTGCCAGGGCCGAGACCATGTAGTCTTAACTACCCTGTAGTTGGGTCCCCACCTTGCTTTTTCCCACCTGTGTAATCTTCATTAAGTTCCCTCCTTAATCTCAAATGCATAAATAACACTGCAAACTATTATTCTCCACTGCATTGATCTCAGTCTGTTGAGATCTTACTTCCAGGTGTATTTTTTATTTGGCTTAAATAAATTTTGGTAAAAATTTTATACAGGTTTGGATGTTCTTACTTCAATATTAGTGATTCACTCTGACAATTAGAATAAGGCAGAAGTGTTGAAGTGTGACTTTTGAGAGTAAGTCATAAAAGGACAGTGTCAGTCTCTCTTGGATCATCAGCTCAGAAGGAAACCAGCTGACAGGTTATGAGGTTACTCAAGCAATCCATGGAGAGGCTCACATAGAAAGAAATGGAGGTCTTCGGCCAGCAACTAGCCAGATGTTTATTTTAAGTTTGGGGGTAATTTTTATGCAGTAATAGATCTCTAATACAGGTCTTTATTCTAAGCGAAATGGGAAGCCATGAAAGGTTTTAAACAAATAGGAGCAAGAACATGATGAATTTGCTGACTTATAAACAATGAGTACCACGGCCTAGGAGCCAAAAGAGGATAGTGGAGACACAAAGGAGGAAGGAGTAGTTTCTACCCAGAGGTCAATTATTAGGAATCTTTTATTTATGAGTAAAACAAGAGGTCAAATTAGCTTAAGAAAAAACGTATTTGGCCATAACCGGTTTGGCTCAGTGGATAGAGCGTCGGCCTGCAGACTTGAAGGGTCCCTCTTTGATTCCGGTCAAGGGCATGTACCTTGGTTGCAGGCACATCCCCAGTAGGGGGTGTGCAGGAGGCAGCTGATCGATATTTCTCTCTCAGCGATGTTTCTAACTCTCTATCCCTCTCCCTTCCTCTCTGTAAAAAAATCAATAAAATATATATTTTTTAAAAAACTTATTTGGCTCACATAAATGAAATGTTCAAAGAGGTAATTTTGGCTTCAGGCATGGCTCCATCCAGGCACTGCTCCATCTCTTGGCCCTCCTATTTCCTGTGTTGGCTTCATTCACAGGCAGGCTCTCTTAAGCAGCTCTGGGCTTACATCTTCATATCTCAGTAACCTCTGAGAGTTAGTTTCCTATTAGTTCCAATGAACAACTCAGATTGGCCCTCATTGGCCCTGCTTCAGTCACATGCTCATCATTGACCAAATCACAATAGCCTGAGGGGGGTGGGGGTGAAATAGTCACATTAACCAGGTTCAGGGCACATACCCACCAGGAGAGCAAAGGAAAAGCGTTGGTTCCATCCAAACCCCTGTGGACAAAAAAGGGGTGCTGCAATAAATCATGAATTCCTAAATGGGCAGATCACACCCCAGGCCTATAAGTTCTTTAGTGAAAGGTTTTTAAGCCAGTCTTGTCTATTGTCCTTGTGCATCTAGATTAATACACCTTTGAAATGCCAGAAGTAATATCCCTAGAAGGCATAACCACCCTTAAGAGAGCACATAGAGGAGAAACCAAGATGGCGGCATAGGTAAACACCGGAGTTTGCTGCCTCAAACAACCACTTCAAAAATACAACTAAAAGACAGAACGGACATCATCCAGAACCACAGGAAGGCTGGCTGAGTGGAAATTCTACAACTAGAAGGAAAGAGAAAAGCATACCGAGACTCAGAGGAGGCGCAGTGCG